TTTGTATACTCTTGGAAGTCAATCTTCCTCTGTGCAAGGTGCCGTGTGACCCGTCACAGTTTTTTTGGTTAAACTCATAAGTATCGACGTTTCAATACTCATGAAGATGATAAATTTCCGTGAAAGGTCGTTTGATACGAAAAGTAAGATCGATTTTTAAGAATGAGAGTTAGTAAAACATATCCATAGTGTTATACTTTTGAAATAGCAGAGCAAACAAGAGATGTCGTTACAGTGTAGACTCTCGATTCCACTCTTGGCGGGAACTCACAAGCCCAACTTCTTTGCGTAAGTTAGCGCGGACTTTTTCAGCCACATATTCCTCTGTGTAAAGTGCACGGCGACCAAGTTGCACGTGGGCTGTTTGTTACTACTGCTGGTTAAACATGTGTGTTATGTAAAATTTTAAATAGACTTAGGACTAATGTTTTTCACGCTTATGATTAAGTGAGAGCAAAATGGTACTAAGATACTTTAAAGGCTCTCGGTCTCGCTCCTGGGTTGATCGCACGAGCCCATCCTCTCACGCAGACTCTGGTCCGAGCTTCTATGCAAGGGTACAGCAAGTTCGTCGCATAACGGCTGTAAATTTGTCATTACCGGTTAAATTATTGCTTAGAAGTTCCGAGAATTATATACTTGTTGTACTGAACAAGCCAAATTTAAAACCAAATTTTCAAATTAAAATGTCAGGATTTGGAGGAGCTTAGAAGTATACTATCATATGGTAATTGTTGCGGATCGCGACTACCCTAATTATGATGCCCATGTGAGACCGATCGGTGAATTTCCAAGTGGTGTTCACAAAGAGCAACTAAGGGATGGTCTGAATGGATGTGATATGGCAACGCAGAAAACGCCAAACGAAAGCTAAGCGGCTGATTTGTTGCGCCTCGTTGTATCGTGTTCTGATTAGGTTATTTGCGTGTAACGTGTGCGCCTGTCCATAACGAATTATCTTCATTTTCGGACATAAGTATGGATTTTGTCCTTACTGAAAACAAGATTAAATTTTGATCATCCATTCCTTAGGATGAATTAAAACTGACTCGAAGTAACGATGCGGTAAAGACAGCGTCATTGCTTCTTCCTCCTTTCGACTGCAAGATGGCCCCCCTGTCCATTGCCCCCATCGTCTTACTGTTGTCCTCGGCATCAGCGTTAAGTCAGAAGCTTTACGGCATTAACTACGACCTTCGCCAAGGCCCGGATTGGGACCCTAACAAGTGCAAGGACGCGGATACTATCGCGTCAGACCTGAAGATTTTAAGCAATCTTACTTCCAATGTGCGCACTTATAGTCTCTCTGATTGCGATGTGACGGGCGTGCTAACAGCCGCAAAGGATCTATCGCTCACCGTTTGGCTTGGTGTCTGGGTTTCCGAGGACCCTAAGGTGTTCAAAGCTGAGGTTGAGGCTTTCAAGAAGCTTGTCGCTGCTGGTCATATCGACAGCAACATCGTGGGAATGAATGTTGGCAGTGAAACCGTCTACCGTGGCGATATCTCAGCCACTCAGGCCATTGAGTACATCAACGACTTCAAGAAGGTCATGGCTGAACACGACATCTCCATACCCGTCAGTATCACGGATATTGTCGACACGTTCATCCAGTACCCGGATATGCTTAAAGCCGGTGACATTGTGACCATCAACCAGTTTCCGTATTGGGAAAAAATAAAGGCCGACAAAGCTGTAGCTCATTTTGATAAGCGCATTAAACCGCTACTTAAGCTGGCAGGTGATATGGAAGTAGTCATTAGCGAGACGGGCTGGCCAACGGGTGGCTCATCCATCAATGGATCAGTGGCCTCAGAGGAGAATGGTGCGATCTATCTCAACGACTTTTGTCAGTTGGCCGAGTCGAGAGGCTGGAAATATTATTACTTTGCAGGCTTTGATACGCCCTATAAGGAGAAGCAAGAAGACGACCCGGCCACAGTCGAGTCGCACTTTGGTCTTTTTGATGCATCAGGAACCCTTAAGGCAGTCTACGAAAATATCGAGTTCACCAAAAATGAAAAATCACTTGATGTGAGCAGCTCTGCATCGACCGATCCATCGGGATCGTTTGGAGATTCGTTTGGCACTGGTACGGTCTCCGAGTCGAGTACGTCCGACACTTCCTCCTCTATCGAATCTTCCTCGCAAGTAGACACGTCTCCATCGCCGGATGCGGAGAACGGATCATCGCAACTGACGGCTGCCAGCTTCGCCACCATTCTGGCCGTGATGTACGCCATATTGTAGAGTCCTTAAGGCATGGAATGCTAAGTATGTTCTCAGGTCGACATAAGATACGTGTACACGAGTTTTTGCTGCTAAAGTGCTTCCTCTTCCCTTGTCTAATCCTCTTAAGTTTAGTCTGATTTTGTCAAACAATAATCTAACCCTAAGATCGCAGGCGCCACATAGAATTCTTTGGCGGTAGCATGCATAGTCGCATAACGCATAATGTATGCGTGAGTGTTGACGCCTTCGTTTTGATACGTCAAGCCTATCACTGTTCATTGCAGAAAAAATGTCTTGCCTCGAATGGTTGCTGGACAACGCAAGGTTACATACCATTATGACATGTCGCAAAGTCGCAGTCTTGAACTCGCACATTGTCAGTTAAAGCACGATCAAGTAGTCAGCGGAAATTGCGATCGCAAATATATTTTTTAAAATCTATGCTCTTCCTTTCGTGCTTCTATGTGGTATACGCGGCCAGGTGCTATTCCACCAAAATGGGCGAGCTGTTTAGCTGCACGTTGCTGCTTGCTTGCCATCTTCTTCAGGTGCCAACCGAGACGCTCAGCGTCATATAAATCTTCCACTTTCCATGCAATGCTTGGCACACGCACCAGTTTTGCTGTCGTGGGGAGTGTATTTTTCGCGTAGAGCTGCTGGTACATGGAAATAGTAGCGACTTCTTCAATGCCTGCGGCTGACGCAATCCCGTCTACTTTGAGACGTAATGCTTCTCCCATGAGCGCAAAGCCCACCTTTGTCAGCGACTCAAGATTCCAGAGAGCAAGAGTGTTCCACGGCGACGTCAAGCCGCTCAGCTCGACTGGTTGTTTTGATAGTTCGGGTTGAAAGTCATGACCAGGCAGTTCTGCTCCAACAACTAGATCCTTTTTCTTATCGAAATGTGATTGCAAAGTTGCAACAGTAGCTGCAGTTACGTTGACTTCCAGCGACTGCAGGATCAACATGTCTGCTTTCGGAAAACAATCAGCTGCCTTTCCAATCAATGCATTTAAGGCCGGTACAAACTTGCCCCAATGGAGCATCGGTATTATTTCGACTTGCCCAGCGAAAGATCCAGAAGACACTTCCCTCTGAAACTTGGCCATAAAATCGCGTACAGAATCCTCAAAGGCGCTAGGAGGGGATACGCTTTCACAAGACGATGTACCTGCTGTGATATAACTGACCATTGCTTTGGGGAGCCCCACTGCTATTAAAATTCCGCCATCTGAATACGTAGCTGCACGAGTGCAAAAGGCGCGGACTTGAGCCAGCACCTTGTCAACATCAATTCGATCGAGCTGTGAGTGACTGTGCCAGTGCAGCCTGGTGCCTACGACAGTTTCTCCTTTCATTACTGAGTTTGACTTTTCTTAAATCAACAATTTATTTCCGGTAACATACCTATTCAAAATGAAAGTCGTATTGCTACTCCCTTAGGCGTCCAATTTTATCTATTCATAGCAACTTATTATCGCAAGCGCCTACTCTCGTTGCCGACCGTGGAAATCAATGACGGAGCACAGGGAGAGAAAAGGTCTTGGGATGCATGGGCTACGCCTTGCATATTATTAGATTACTTAAGCCAGTGAAACAGATATATTTACCAATATAGACACAAATCAGATCTTGATCGGAGCCTTCCTTGCGTCTTCCTGTTCACTAATAACTTTTCTGTGCGAGAGGCACGGCAACCCCACCGCACTTGGTAGCAATTGTCGTCAATCCTACAACCAAGTCGTGCAAAGACTGTGATCCTTGGTGAAGGTAGATTTGACTTTCTGTCTTCGGACAATTGAACACGATTAATTTGCCTCTAGTCATGACGGGGGAACAAAATTGGCGTTCTAGGGCCAGTGGCGGTAAGTGATAGCCTAAAGGCACACACCAGCTGTGATAATGGTTGGACAGGATACCGCCAAGATGACCTAAAACTGTGATCTGTGGGATAACAACAGGTAGCATTTTTGTATTGGATAAAGTTGAAGCGACATATGTCGCGGCTGTCTACTGGATTTACCATCCGAGATCAAAATTTTCTATCCCAGGCAAATAAATTCGTGCAAAGGTGAGTAGGAAAAGAAATCTTTAGCCACCGAGCAGCACAGTAGAACTTGGAATTGTTACATTTAAGGTAGTACAGGACATCTGCGCCTTGCGTGCCCCATGATCTCTCGGTTAAGATATGCGTAGGATTAAGCATCTACGCGGAGTCGTGCGATGTACTCCTCGTAAGGAATTGACGAGTCATAATAGGTGCAAGGCGGCCTTCTGAGACTAAATAAAGTTCTGTTGTACTCCATGAGGGGCTGGGCAAGAAAGACCCACTTTGAAAGATATGATGCTTTTTATGAAAAGGTAGCGCTTACAGCATAGACGGGGGTTCGACTATCAATATGAGAGACTTTGGGCTTTATGAAGCTGTTTAATTTTGTGATAGATCTAGGAGCGTCATGCAAACACTTAGACGCGCGGTTGTCGAAAACAAAGGACAGCACACGGAGGTATTAATTATGTGTCAAAAACGGATACGATAGCCCGGCATTTTTGGCGACAGGGATCTGTCAAAATTCAGTTAAAACCTTCGTACAAGGCGTTGCCAAAGTTGATCACTGCTTTGTACCTCGATTCGAGATACAATATCTGCTTAGGTAACACGTGGCAGAGAAGCCGTGAGCCATGGACTAACTGGAAGCATGGGCACCGAAGGGTATATAATTTTCCTCTAATAGATATTCAATGAACATGAACTGAAATTTGCTTAAGAAAATGGAACTTCTGTTAACGCGAGCATGAAGGTCCGATAGCTTCAGTGCAAAATATAAAATCATTCAATTGGGAACTGTGATAATTCTAACTGCCTTTTACGTAGGTCGAATGGTAGAAGCGTTAGTAAGCCGCGGACTCCGGATGAGAAAGGAATTAGCGACGGTGTGTTGCGGCATACAAGGTTTCTCTCTGCTGGGACTTCTGAAATTTCACGTCCTCACATGTAAATTTTGCGAGATAAGTCAGTACGGTTTAGTGTTACAGCCTCCTTAGAAAAGCCGGTAAAGACATGCGAATGTGAGTCGAGAGCAGAACGAAGAAAAAACTAAGCTATCGAGGACAGTCCGTTCTTGGCTTGATGTTACGGTACTTGCTACCACGTGACACAAAACCCCTACGATGCGATTATTCAGTTGTAAACGAAATGATCAGAAAAGTCAACGGTTGTATGTCTTTCCTACTTCAGGCGGAGGGTCTTACAGAGCTAAAAATACATTTGAGATGAGTGGAAGGAATAGCAAGGCGGTGAGCGCACCAAATATGGATAATTGGTACCGTGAGAAATTTAAGCCCGTCTATTACCATGGTGGAATCAGCCATTTGGAGGACTCGCAGCGTACTGAGAGCAAAGAGGGAACCTGCTATCCTCAAAAACACTACGAACCCCTTTATCCTATTTTGAATAGTGTCATAACGCGAAGACGGGCCATCACCGTGGGAAATTCAATTAATATTCGATTAATACATTGGAAAAGTGAAACGTAAAGAGAGCCTCTTCATCAGGGATTGGCTTCGCCGTAAAACTCATAGTGGAGGAGCGAGTGCAGGCCAGGCCTTCGAGAGTCCCTAGGTCCGTCCCCACTATATAAAACCTCAGCTTCCTGACTGATTATGACTATTAATCGTCAGTCGCGGTGGCCGCATATTTTTCCGTTGCTCGTTGAGCCATAGAGAAAACCTTCACAGTGGTAAACGCTCAACAAAGCAGGCGCTACTATGGGCAATGGTGAAAAGCGAACTGAGTGCTTGTGAAGTAATTTATGTGCGTCCTGGAAATGAAAAAAGGAATATAGTAAACAAGTTTGAAGGGATGTAACGGGGTACATAGCGTACTTTGATCACTCAGGCATAACACTTATTCACTATTTTTTCTAAAACTTCTAACGTAAAGTATCGTTATGAAGAATCAATATTAGAAAGGAGCGGGTGATGGGACTGGCTAACGGTAGATCCGTGGGAGGCTAGTCTCACCTTACGCGATCCGAACGGTAGGGTTATATTATTACCGATAGAGATACATTTAGTATAAGCTGAAATTTTACTTGACCCTTACTGTACATCACTCATGAGATATGGGGAGAGCAACCAAGTACTTCGTCTCCGAAGTGACTCTCGATCCTGTTGTTGAATGAAGTACACAATATCATCTCTGCGTGTCACGCTGACACTTTGAATCAGAATTTTGCCTTGCGAGAAGCGCAACAACTCCGCTGCAGATGATTTTGAATGCGCAATCATAAAAATCTACCGGTGAACACAGGTTGAGCGGACATGCAAGTGTCATCTAATGGATTCACCTGCACCTCAGTTGCCTTATTAAGGGTAAGCTACAACATGACATCAAACTAGCACCACAAAGCACGAAATTAGACTAACTATATTGTTCTCATTACATTAGCCGATCATTATAGATCAACAAATGCGCTATTGTTGCTGACGCAGTAAATCGGCTTAGGAGAAAATCAAAGGATTCCCAGATTTCTCAAATGCATGTGTTGATGATTGAGTAGAAATTAATTTTATCCGAGCATAATCCTTACGTGAGCTGCTAACTTATGCCACCTAAATCATTAACTTCCAATGCAGCATTTTGTGCATTTGTTTCGTTTAAAACATTGTCTCGTGTGTTGCTAAAATATATGCAGTCTGGACGTCTTTTCTTAGGGTCTGAAAGGAAGCTTATTCAAAACAAGTCTGATGGGCAACTTGAGAAAATAGTATAATGACAATAAGCGAACAAAAGTGATTTAATTACGTCTCGCAAAAATATATCGAAAGTAATTTAAATTATACTACACATTTCTTAAAGTCTACATACATTACTGTGCCATTATTATTTTTAGCGTTTAATGCATATTCCATTTTGTTGTCATGACGCTTTTTTTACTCATACATCGCTTGTCCTAAAATGTGTGTCGCTATGCCTCTGAATGCAGAGGGGCTGCCGTTGCCCTTTGCTTAGAAGAAGCTAAGCTAAGATCACTGACCTTATGTTCCATACAAAAACTAGTACGATTGTAGTGGATCGCAATCCGCTACCCAAAAGAGTACTTAAAATCCTAACCAAGGTACAGATGCTGTTCTGTTAAGAACTGAAACCGTACGTAACTGCTTTAGTCGCGGCACAGACGCCAATATCTTAAACTTTAGGTTTTCCGAATTAATATAGTAATACCTAAATTTATAGTAAAATCTAATTAATATGTATAACTACTGGCAGTCCTGCCACTTAGTAAATTCTTGTTACGGTGTAGCCAAACCAAGGTGTGATTACACCAACTTGTATAGTCCACACGTATGTACGGTCACACCATCTTGTGTGACCCGCCCATTCATACAAGGGTACGTGTAACCCTGTTGCACCAAATCTATAACACTGTATGCGGGTGCGGTAGCAAAATATAAATCCAATTCCATTACCCCTCTTTGGCATCATTGCATCATATACTCTTAATCCAGGTCATACCCTGCCGCGACAGCACCTTGGATTTGATGGTTTCGCTTGTCGTGATGACTGTGGGATGGGACGCAAACACTAAAGGCGTTCTAAGATAAAAGACGGCTTTTCATCATCTCAATTATTTGAAGAATGCTTTGACGCCGTCCACAGCTCAATTTTATCGCACTGTGGTATCCCAAAAAAGAACGGTTGGTAACATGATGGAGTGTGAATAAAAGATCGATCCTATGCGCAATACTATTTAAGTTTAAGTCAAGGATTTATCTGTGTGAGGTGCATGGCAACCAGTTTGCTTTGAAGTAGAAAAGCGATATCAATATTTGGAGACTGTTGGTTCCACTTCAGGGTGAAGCGTACGCAGTCAACCTCTGTGTTGTATACGTGAACGCTTAGTGCAACGGGTTTGCTGTGCACCTTGTATAAGAAGAATTGACTGCTACAGCACGCGTTAGCAAGCTTACAGTGGTCAGTTTCATGTACTCCACGCAGGCGAAACCAAAGATATCAATTGAAACCGGTCACCAAATTGATCTCTTATGTCAAGTCTAACATGTTATTTGAAAAAAATTATACTTAATATATGTAATGGGCTAAATTTATCGATCAAACTATGCATCTCCTGTATGCATTGTGGGAGTTGATAAAAAGAAGATTACTGTATGGTACTCACAAAAGCATATATATGAAGTCACAAACATTCTGTGTGATACAGAATAATGGTTCCTACATTGGGGTCTGTACTGGTGACGAGACCGACGTCTGTCTTTCGATGTGGGCGGCGTAAGCCAGTCATTTCTACTGGATACTTTCCACTAATGTTGAAGCTCAAGCTTTTCAAATTTCAAGTTCCGTATACCCAAGATCTTGTGTAAGTTTACGCTGAGGTTCAACCTCACTACACCTTTGAATCATAGTCGGGAACACACGGTTCTATCAGTAGAACTACTAGGCCCTTGGGTAGTCTTGCATATTTGCTAGAAACCATCAACTCACTATAATTCAATTGCAAATTTTCCTTAAAGGCCTAAAGTCGTTCTTCTTCGCTCCAAGTCAGGACTGTCTTTCCCTCCACATCAGGAATTCCTTCCTCGTCGCACAAGCGTGTGTGTTGTGTCTGAGGGACTGTTGTGAATAGCGCTCTCTTTTAATCAAATGCTGGATGTAAAGATATTACTACCTCCGAAAAAAAAGTATTTGGATTCCTTCACAAGTATCAGAAGCCTCTCCTATAAGGAATGGAATCATATGATGAGAGTTGATGGTCAAAACTTCTAAATGACCATAAACACAATACGTGTGTGAAGTGATTATCTTACAGCTGTCCAGAATCGGAAAAATTCAGCTGTACCTGATATGTAAGGTGTAGATTCACAAGATGACAGTCCATTCCCCGTTATACCTTTTCGTGCTAATATGTGAACCACAATAGTTATCGCACTTACTTTCTATTCTGAAGACACAGCGTAAACATGACTGCTCCACAAGCAATCGCTGCCTTGCCATGCCTTCACCTCAGAGCATAATTGCATGAAATGTCTCATCTTGTGCATTCTGAGCAAATAGCCCGGCGAGATTTCGGAAAGGCGCAGCCCTTGCGGCCGACGCATCAAAGATATTTGGTAAATGTGCCCAGGTGTTCTTCGATGAGAATAGTCCAATGGTCCTCTTGAGACTAGAGCGATTAACTTCCGCTCCACTGGCGATCCAAGGCGACCAATTTACCAAGAACGACGTGATTACTGTGCTTAGCATCTCCGTAACTGGAGTCTCGAGCTCAATGCCCTAGTCTTTGAGTGCAGTGAAACTAAAGACGCGGCTCGTCTTGATAGCGATGAGCGGGGCCTGAATCGAAGAGCCCAGCTTACTGCACTACAAGCGTAAGAGCCAATCTAATAAATTCCAATGATTCCGCCGTTATTATGATCAAACCGTCCGAAGTCGCACTCACGCTGATTCAAAGTCCTCACACGCCTGTGCGTGCAACGTCCGCCAAGAGCAAAGTCTCGTGCTAGGCGTTGTGACCACAATACCTGCTAAGAACAGCCTCGCTCATCTTCATAAGACAGCTGTTATAGCTGCTGACCAAGAATTTTTTAGCCCAAGCTGGGTTGCCTCCCAATAGCAAAAAGCACGTAGCGACTGGCAACGCTGCCTCATCAGCTTGGCCAAAGATGCGCTAGGTTATAAGTATCCCAGCACAATCTAATTGAAGTGGCCTCAACCTTCCAATATTTTATTTATTGAGTTAATCTCCTTTACTCAGATAGGTTATCCGGTAAGAGCCCTGGTGTACTCGCCAAGCGGTCGATGAGAAATAAAACCACCCCTTGTTTATCAAGAAATGCCGATGCGGGTCGACTTTCTTGTGACTGGTTGTCAAAAGCTTGTTTGATTATAGTGGATGTCAACATTAATTGAAGTGTCAGTTTTGCTATCTGAGCTTTGCCATTGCGTTGCCTGGTTTGAGGCATAACCGTGTTGCTTCTTAGAAGCATAAAGTTACTCGGCTACAGGGGATGGCAGAGATGACGCTACGTGTTCAATCGAGCTCTTTTAGTATGACTTGATCGAAAGTGAGGAGACATGATTCCGCTCATAATGCCCGCTTTGAGCACAGTGGAAATTCAGTTAAAGATGTGAAAGTGTGTCTTAATTTCTTCTTCGCTACGACTGTAAATGCGCGGACAAATTTATTTTGTATATATCGCAAACACTGCATGTGAAATTAGGTTAGTTGCGCTCAATAACATACTTTTCCGACAACATAGTCGTGTGTGTTCTGTTTCTGGCGTCAGAGTGTTGCTTTTTATATTCCAGCTCTTATCCAAAACTCCGTGCACCCTAATGTTGACGGTAGATCTCGTAAAGATAAAGTCACTGATTTGTTAAAAATGACACCAGCATGCCAAAGTTGCTCGACAGCTCCCAAGATGAGCAGACTGGTTTCAAAGGCACCTGGGTGTAATAGATTACTTGTAACAAATGAGATGAAGCCTGAAGAGTTATGAACTGAGTTATTTAACGCATGTTTAATGTGTGGTAGCACGTAACTCCAGCTTCACAGTCTTTCCCCGCAACTGATCCAGCGGAATACCCTAGCAGTATGTTTCACACGCTTTAAATTGCCACTTGTTTGAGGATGGTCAGCAGTTGACATATCCAGTCTAGAGTTAAGCAACTTAAACAGTGTTTGCCAAACCCTTGTTGTACAGTGCGGACATTTAACCGATTCAATGACTGTCGTTCAGCCATTTTGGTGAAAGATTTGTCCAGGTGAATATTGGCCAGACACCACGGGTTGCACAATCGCTGACAGCAGCAAGATAAGACATCTTGCTTTACGGTCCACGAAGTCTACAATGCCGGTATTACGTAACGCGTTTATTGAGAGTCCGAAAATGAACTTCAAACGTATGAAACTCTGCTGGACGGATGGGCTGACCGGAGGTGCTGCCAAATGCAACGAGGGTCTAACGCACTGACATGTTTTTACAAATGGGCAACTATGTGTTTTTTCGTTAATATATGTTTTGCTACCTGTTTTACTACCAGTACATAGCACTAATAAGGCAATATGTCTTTTTTTCCGAGAAGACACCCACGGGTATGTCCTGTGTCCGTAAAAAATATGTACTTGAGGTCTTCATCATAAGACACCACTACACGCTAAGTGGTGCGATACAGCAAAGCCTTGGGGTACGGCTTTTTGGCGCAGGATTACAACCGCTTCAATAACTCGAAAATTTAGGTTCCAAACACCTTGCTTCTCAGATCGTTTTGCAGCGCAGCCCATATTGCATTTGGCTGGTGAGC